AACTAATAGGGAACCGTATTTCTATGTGTTGGCTTAATAGTTTTCTTCTCCAGCACTCAACCGTCCTCTAAGTTTTATCATCGCCCGTTGGCGTTTTGTAATTTTCCCTTTACTTTTTACTATTAAACCACTTTTGCGTCATTTTTGCTCATTCTTAATAAATTTGCATTTTTTTTGTTTTTGCTTGCGCGCATCTTCTCCCTCCTATTTTGACATTCTATCTCTCCCATCCTTTTTATTTACATTTTCTTTTCTCATGCCATTGTGAGAATATTCCATTTTTTCTTCAATTTTATTGCCTTTTAATGAAGTTGAATCAAAAAATGTAGCTTTGTTAAAATTTTCTTTTTTAAAATTTTTTCTAGGCCCTTCCTGGTTCAAAAAACATATTAATCTTATTAATTTTTTTGATGGATTAAATAAAAATGATTTTATTCCGTTCATGTTTATTTGAGCACCGGGATAAATAGCAGCTTTTTCTATACTCTCATTTGAAAGTTTATTTATCTCCAAATCAATTTGTGCAAAAAATATAGGTACCAATTTGAGTAAAAGCTTCTGAAATGAATTATACAAGAATTATGTATAAAATTATTTAAAATGGGAGTTAGGGAGTTATGCTTTGATAATGTAGGCGCAAGTATACAAAAAGAAGTTGAGACCGTAAAAACACTTCCTTTGCTTCACAGGCTATGTGGTATCAGGTTCGGACGTTTGGTGAAGGAAAAAGTGATGAAGGTCGAACTCTTACACCCCCGGTCCGCCATTCAGTTCGACACAAAACCCGCTTAATCACTCGATATCCGTCTTAATCATTTGATCAACCAATATCCCCTTTAATCTACTCAAATCCACCTTCTCTTCAATCTCAGAAATTTCATTATATTCTATCAAGCAAATATTTAATTTCATTAAATTTATAGCAAATAGAACATCCTCCACCAAAATTAATTTTTCCCCATTAGTTCCATTAGTTATTCTTTTTATTTTGTGTGTATATTGGTTAGGTTCATTACATTCATAAGGCCCGGAATCTAAATAAACGTAATCATTTTTATTTTTTTCATCAATTTCGTATAAAATTTCAATCTTATATCGCCAAAGAGCCTCGTTAATTTTATTTACTTGCATTCTCAACAAATTAATTTTAACACTTCCATCCTCGTTTTTATTATTTTCTGTAGATTCAACCAAAATTCGTTGATTATTTTGTAAATTTTCAGAAGAAAAAGAAAATAATAAAATAAATAAAAGAACAAAACATTTAATTTTATTTTTCATTAAAACTTTTAAATAAAATTATTTTTAGATTTAAGACTGATTTAGACTGTTTTTATATACAAATTATTGTCTAGCATTTAAGATTAAATATTGAGAAACAGTTTCCTTCATATGATTAATTCATGTGAATAGCACATTAAAATTAATTATGAAATATTTAAAAGGTCTGACATCCTGTATATAGTGCATATTTTTGTACATTTTGTTTAAAAACGTTTTTTGTGTTTATTTATATTAAAAATTATTTTGCACTTTTAGTCGGTATTTCTTTTAAAATTATTGAGAAATTATTTATTTATTTATTTTAAATCATTTAGATAGCCATTAAAGTGCAATAATAGAATAAAATGTCGCTCTCACTCATAACACACTCCACACTCATAGCTCATAATACATGTCGCTCTCACTCATAACTAATAACTAAAGATGGCGGTTCCTGGGAAATCACTGGATATCCGGAATCGGAACCGGTATCCGAACCGAAGATTTCGGATATCCGAGGTTTTTTCGGTTCCGGATACCCGAAACCGCCATCATAATTCATAACACATTCATTCATAAGATTAATCTGTTCCAAAATTATAAAGTCACCCTATTTTTTTATCATATCATATTTTTAAAAACGTCTACCCCCGGTTTTCCGTTGATTTTCGAGTTTCAAGATCTCGATGATGTGATCATAACTTTAGTATTTTTTATCTATATTGATAAATATTTTCACAAAAATTTCTGTGGATTTTTCCCACTATTATAAACCTATTAAACAAAGGTAGTACAAATTTTGTTCTTTAAGGAAACTATGGGATAAGGAAACTATGGGATAAGGAAACTATGGGATTAAGGAAACTATGGGATATTTGAGTATTAGGGGGATTTGATGAGATATTTGGGTAGGGTAAATTGAAGTAAATCGATAAGGTAAATCGACTAATTAATGACTCCAACTCCTCAGTTATCCTTCTTTATCATTATCACTGTTAATCCCTTCAATACACTCTTAATAATTTTAAACCTCGTACATTTATAAATTTACAATGGCACTTCTTGAATGTTTAAAATCGGTAATTTAATTTTTATGTCGGCTATACCTCTGATACATACAACTTATTTAATATTTTTGACAAAATTTTGAAAAAAATTTCTTTCAAAATTCGTCGGTCTTGTTTTAAAATTATTAAAAATAAAATAATTGTCTATGAAAGTTTAACATTTATTGCTTTTAAAGTGCAATTATGAAATAGTATAATTTTTATTGGCAAACCAATTTTTCATTCACAATTTTTTATAAAACGCTGTTGACTCTATCAAATAAAATTTAAAATAAATTTTTAAAAAATGTTTTCTTTTAAATTTTTATTTATTTCTAAAATATTATTTTTAATATTTTTTGATTATTCTTTTTCTTTTGATTATAAAAATAATCAACGAATATTGGTTGAATCTACAGAAAATAATAAAAACGAGGATGGAAGTGTTAAAATAAATTTGTTGAGAATGGAAGTAAATAAACTTGAAGAAGAATATAAAATTGAAATTTTATATGAAATTGATGAAAAATATGAAAAAGAATACATTTTTACAAGTTATAATCCAAACGACTGTAGTTTTATTGACGATAATTCAAATAATGTAAAAAGTATATTTAATGGAAATAAAAGTAAAAAAATAATTTTGATTGAGGATTTCTTTTGGGATTTAGACATAACAAGAATAAATATTTGCCTGGTTCAATTTAATGATGATTCTTATAAAACGGTAAACAGAAGACAAATGCACCTACCCAGATTACTCACTACCCAATAAACCTCACTGCCTAAATCACTAACTGCCCATTTAACTACTGCTATGCGACTTCTGCCGAAATCACACAACAAGATGGAAAAGTGAGCATTCCCTTTGCGGACAGGTAGATAGCGAGCTAGACATACACCAAGATAGCAATAATCTTGTTTTTAAGAAAATTCCACGCAAAGATCCGTTAACTTTCCGAGGCAGTCTTACATATTTAGAGCCTATTAATATTTAGTGTAAATAAATTCTAGGTCCTACTTCTTAACATTTTTAGTTATTATTATTTTCTTTGTTTCCCATGTTTTTTGCGCAAATAAATTTGGAGGTAAAGAAACTGTTAGATGAGAGAAGAGCAAATGCAGATGGTTACTATGATGTTGAAATCAGCATAAACGGAGTAGAAGCAATTCTTCATACAGTATATAAAAACAAATATATATTGACAAGATTAATATGTTTTTTGAATCCGGAAGGGCCTAGAAAAATTTTAAAAAGAGAAAATTTTAGCAAAGCTAATTTGATTGAGTCAACTACATTAAACGGCAAAAAACATGAAGAGAAAATGGAATATTCTCACATTGAAATTTGTTTGAAATTTGAAAATCCTGGAAATTACTTTATTATTGTCTATGCTGATTTTAACGTTGGATGGCTTGAATTCTATGTTAAAATTAAAAAAGCAAACGAGGAAAGATGTGTGTTCAAAATGTTCAAGAAAATTTCTGATTTTGATAAAATATTATTGGAAAGTTTGAGACATTCTATAGGAATTTATATATTAAAAACAGAGGTAGATGATATTGAAGATGGTCAAATGAATGTATATTATGAAGGTTTTAAAAACAAATATCCTAAAATGTCATTTGTTGCCGAAATTACTCCATTGATTAAAGATGGAAGTTATGAATTTTATTTGGACGAGGATGGAATAACGAAAGAAAAAGTAGATTAATAAAAAGAAAATCAAAAAAGTGAGAAGACATTTGAATTTAATGTTATGAGGTGAACTACGATGAAACAAAAAGATAATTCAAAAAATTAGCACGTCTATTGGAGCGTGCTGGCAAGGGCCTTTCTATTTGGGGTACCTTTCGCCTTAATCGGATAAGATCTGAGGGTTAATCAGGTCATAAGGCTTACCGAAGCATGTTGTTACCGCTAAGTTGTATAAGCGCATTTATTCAAATAGGAAATATAATATTACATCAGTGAAGAAATAACATAAGTTTGGCCTAACTATTTTTGGGAATAATGGAACTCGTTATATACTGATTAGCTTGATTAGCCCACTGATTAGCCACAACCATAGACCGATTAGCCAACACCATAGAAAAAATAAATGCTTTTAAACTGTGATTTTAAATTAAAGTAGCAAAAAATTTACTATTATTATAGCTGCCCCGCTCTTTCGTTGGGCCCCGAGAATGGGCAACAGCTCATTCTCGGGGGGCAACGGCTCATTCTTGGGGCGCTAAAGGCGTTTCCCCAAAATTTAAAGACTAGTTTCCTTAATAAAATTTTATCACAAATAAATACATATAAATAATTAAAGTAAGGGGGAGGTAGCACCGGGCAAAGTTTTTGGTGCGGATCGAAAAGTCAAGACTGAGCGTTTTTGCCCGGTTCTCCCTTCCCTTTTATTGGCAAATAAAAAGGGCATGAAATAAAATTATGACATTCTATAACTGGGGGGGGTGGTATGTGCGGAGTTGGCCTAATAACCAGTTCTTCCTTCTCCCCAACTTTTCTTGCTTCCAATATCCAGCCTGACGTGAATTTTGTTACGAGCGTATTTCCGATAATTGTACATTTCGGTGAATGTGACGAGTATTTCATGGACGAACTTCTTATTGACGAACTGATAGGGAACCGTATTTCTATGTGTTGGCTTAATAATTTTCTTCTCCAGCACTCAACCGTCCTCTAAGTTTTATTCATCGCCCGTTGGCGTTTTGTAATTTTTCCTTTACTTTTTACTATTAAACCACTTTTGCGTCATTTTTGCTCATTCTTAATAAATTTGCATTTTTTTTGTTTTTGCTTGCGCGCATCTTCTCTTTCCTATTTTGACATTCTATCTCTCCCATCCTTTTTATTTACATTTTCTTTTCTCATGCCATTGGGTTTTTATCCCTTCCCCATTTCTAATAATTTTCGTTTACTTTTCCCCATTTACTATAATGGATTGTTGTGTCATCCATTACTTTTTCCCCGTTTTCAAATCCTCTTTCTTCCATTTTTATTTCACTTTTACCCTTTTTAAATTTGTGTTATTGTACGGCAATGGGTGATCCAAATGGCTAGCATTAAAACGCTTATTAGGCAGGTGTTTAAATTTTTATATTATTTTTTGTGTTATAGTCCCATCCTTGCTTCTCCCAAATTCTGGCTGTTTTCTATTTTATTATTATAGAAAACAACAATTTGCATGTTTTCTTTTCCCCTTTTCCCAAAACTGCCCTTATAGTCAATCTTTGTTTTTGTTTTTCTGCTTCTAGTCTTCCTTTCTTCCACTCAATTCAATTTCGCACCTGCATCTTTTATGGCATCAACTTCTTACTTCTTTTCCACCCGTTCTCTTTCCAAAATTCACTCTGCTTCCCAGTCCACAATCACTTCGAAAATTTCCATCTCTCCAAAATATTTCAATATAATTTTATTAATGGTTCTTCTCCAATATTTAATCTTGATCATGATGATTACTTCCATTTTTTTAAATATGAAGATGCTCAACCCGCATTTTGTAAAATCTTTTTAAATAAATTTGGGAGATAACAAAGGCAATTAAAAAAACAACAATAACAATAGAACCCAAGAAAATAGCAAAAGATTAGATAGAATTCTAGCCCTGGGATTTTTGAAAAATTCTTTCGCATCATTTCTGGACAGGGGGTTACATTAAAATTACTTTAGTCAGTCACCAATTAAAAAATAAAATCTAATCTGTTAAAATACATTTTTTTAATCACATTACGAAATTTCTATCTTCCTTTTCTCCCTTAAGCCTTATCATCATTTGCCTTCTTCTGTTTGTTCCATTCATTTCTCTCGTCTTTTCCTAACATCTTCAAAAATCTTGCGTGTTGTCCCGAGTTCTTAATACTAAGTCCCACTCAAGCCACTCAATCGTTCCATTTTTTCCGCCTTTAATTTAAATCTAGTTTTAACGTCCCTGTAAATTCCCTCCATCTTATTCTTGTATTCCCTCTCTTGCTTGTGCATTTTCGGATGGCAAATGGGTTTGCCCGATTTCCAAATTTATTGACGTATTATAGGCAAATGCTAGTAAGGGGAGTGCTTGGGCCCAATCTTTGCCCCGTGTAGTTGTACTAATCATATCAGCGATGTTCGATTGTACCGCTCGCATTGACCATTTGCGGGATGATGATAAGGGGTGGTAGTTTGCACTTTTATCTCAAATAATTCAGCTACTTCCTTGAATACTATGCTCATAATTTTAGTACCTGATCTGACACAATCCCTCCGGCACCCCAAATTTGGTTATAATGGGACTTATTAGGGGCCATCCATTTCGAAATTTTAATTTCCAAATTTTATTTTAAAAATATTCCACACGCACTTTTCTCGATTAAAACATATTAATAAATAATTTCGATTTTAAAATGTTTAATAAAATAATTATTTAATGAGTGAATATAAAATAACTAGAGCGCGGACGGTATTTTTCGAAAGATATCGAAAAATATAAAAAAGTCGAAATTTACTAGGTCGTTATTTTTCGATTGATATTGAAAAATATCGAAAAATATCGTATCGGCCGGGCTCTTAAAATAGCCAATTCTCCTCTGAAAATAATTTTTATTAAAACTTAAGTCCCAGTTTAATTAATAAAAATTATTAAAATTTCATCAAATTAAGTAATTTTCAAATTTTATTTTCTAAATTTTATTTTAAAAATGTTTCACACGCACTTTTACTCGATTAAAATCATATGTACATATAATAAAAAAGTTAGTTTTTAAAATATTTAATGAAATAATTATTTAATGTCTTCTTTTATTTTTTAAACCGTTTTAATTATTATTATTATTTTTAAATTAAAAATAATGTATACATAGTAGTGTCGGTGTTCACGCTTTTATCTATTCTCAAGACTCACCTATTTGAAACTAATGGATTAATCTTTTGTTTTACCGTATTTCCTCTAATAGTGCGGCCGGTCGGGTTATTTTTCAACCATCCTCTAGGTAGTCGGTTTATTAGAAGGGGTCGGTCTAATAGATGGAGTCGCACTATTAGAAGAAATACGGTATTTGTTCAAAGTTTACGCTAAATTCTAAACAAGTTTGGAGGTTCGAAATATTGACCAAAATTTTTCCTCACATTTTTAACTTTGTATAAAAAACAAAGCGTGGTGGGCATTTTGAAATTCTTGACTTATAGATTCAATAATACTTTGTGAAATGTCGCTATCTGTTTAGTCACCTTTCAAACTTTTAGTAATTTAAATTAATAGAATAGGTCGGGATCAGGATCCCGGTCGGGATCGCATGGAATCATGTTATGATGTGAATAAGCTTTCTTTTGATGATATGATTCTTTTGAGCACATTGTTAAACTTGTTCGATTTCGATTAATAATTAAGAAATTTTCTAATTTCTAATTTAGACAAATAAATTTTTAAAATTTAATATTTAAATTCTAATTAGAATGCAATTATTAATTTATTTATTATTAATTGTTTCAAATTTTATATTAGTGGACAATAATGAGAATAATAATATAATTATTATTAAAATTGAATGGCGAAAATATTCTGATAGTTTGACTAATAATTTATTATATAAACTAAATCATATGAAAAATAATCGTTTTAAAATTAATTTAATTGTAAAATATAAAAAAGATAATAATAAATATGAAAATGTTTATTTTAGAAAAATAACTGAAAAATATGATATTTGTAAATTTGGAGAAGCTGACCTATTAGGGATGGATTTACAAAACTTAAATTATATTATCGAAGTTCATGTAGACAATGAGGTAAAATACAATCGAAATAATAATTTTAGATAGGATAGCACCCCGCCTCCGCCCACAAAACCCAACCTTGATTTAAGACAAAAACCCCGACACGAACACCGAAGGTTCTACCACGACAAAACCTAATTCCCGACGCCCAACCCAGTGCGGGTAAAACCCCGACCTGACCCACGAAACAACGACCTTGAATATTTTTTGCAAAAACCCCGATCTAAAACACAAAGCTCTACCCCGGGAAACCACGAAAGCAGACACTTTAATGCTGCAGGGTGCTGCCCTACTTTAAATAATATTTAGATCATTTTTTTATGATTTTAAATTTATTATTTCAAGCCAATAATCAACCCTGTTAATGGAAGTGGAACTAATAAAGTAATTATAATTCCATTAAACTTTTTTGAAAGGCCAATTCAAACAGATAATCAGACAATAAAAGTTTTGGATTTGGAAAAGCCAAAAAGAGTTTTGAAATTTATTATAAACAAATTTTATCCAAATTTAAAAATGTTTATTAAATGTCGGGAAAGGCAGTTAAATTTACCATTAGAAGATTATTCCGAGTTTTATTCAACTGAACATTATGACTTTAATGTCTGCCGTAATGATAAATATTTTATATTTGTTGAGAATAATAATTTAGAAATTGTATGATTTTTTATAACATAATATAGAAAATTCTAAAATAAATTAACCGTAAGATCGAGATTTGATTATAACGGGGTCTAGACAACCAGCATACAAATTACCAAAACCGGGACTTGAAAAAGCAATTTCCAAATTCCAAAATCGTTAATTAATTTTTTATCTCGGTCCTGGTAAGTTAAAAAATAAATTAAAAACAAATTAAATATTTCTAAAGCCCGATATGAATATATTGAAGATTTATAGTGAACGGGTTGCCAGTTCTTATTCATTCCCTAATAAAAATATAAACTTGATCCGAAATCTTTTATTTAAATTTAAAATTAGGTTTGTTCGCGGTCGGTTAACTGAACCGAAAAACAATGTTTTTGGCCAAAAAACCGAAACCAGAAATCGGAAGGGGGGGGATGCGATTAAAATATATTATAGAATCACAGGATATTTATTCATCTTTTAATTCACTACAAGTTAAATAGATTTGTATGATAATTTCAATGTTAAAAAATATTGATTAAATTCTGGTTGGGATTTCACATTCACTAGGCTTACAATATTAGTGACTGACTAATTTAATTTCAAATTTTATGAGTTTATTTGAATCTTTAGCCGTCTAAAATTGAAATTGAATGCGATGAAGCAATATATGAAAATATGATAGAAAATGTCTATTTAATTAATGTAGCAAATATTGATGGAAATAATCCAAGACGTTCAAACAAATTAATAGGAAATTGTGAACTTAAAATAAATAACAATCCAACACAATTTATGGAAGAAAAAACTCTCGATCAGATAATGAATGAAAGGGGAAAAGTTAAGGAAATTGGACATCAATCAAATGAAATATTAAATGTTGCAACAAAGCTCTTACAAAATTCTAAAGATGAAATACTCAAATCACAAGAATTTACTAATGAAATATATAAAAAAATAAACTTGCCTGAATCTGGGTTAAATAAAATAAATGAAATTGATGAATATTTAAAAGAAGTTAAAAATAAAAATGAACGTTTGGCAAAACTTCAAATAAAATTATTGGCTTTAATTAACGTAATAACAAAAGAGTGAAAAATTTTTTTTAATATAAGGGAAGTTTTATGAATAATTTAAATGTTGAATTAAACGGATTGCAAAAATTTTTTGTCTTTTCAGGGGTGAGTAGAATAATACTATTGGGGTTTGTTAGCTTTTTTCAAATAGATCTATAGTATCAAATTGCAGAACCTGTACCGATTACCTTTTCATTGAAATCGTATGTTTGTAAATGACGCGTAATTTGGACAAGACTAGTGTTTAACACAGTTCGGTACTACCACAGTACTACTAATAGTAACGACATGATACTTTACGATACTACTGGATTGCTATTAAAATACTCCATTTGCCGACCACTAGAAAAGACAAATATTTTTTAAATTTAATTCACTAAATTTTAATAATTTTATTTTTTTATTAAAATGTATTAAAGACATAACATTTATTAATAATTTATGTACAATAAATATTATGTAGAATAAAGTTTTTACTTTTTAATTTTTTATGTTGTACTTTTTTGATACTTCTTTACTATTATACTTTTTTTATTAAAATAATTAATAACAGTTTCAAAATAAGGTACTATGCATTTATAGTTTTTGCGCAAATTTTTTCGTCAAAGTTTTTTTCAAAGTGTTGTGTATTCGAATTTATAATTTTAATTAATATTTATTTAACTTTGACCTTTTCCCAATATTCAAATATATTTCTTCCCCTAAACCATTTTCCCATTTTTTATCATTCCTTTCTTCATGTTTGTTTGGCATTCCTATTTATAATATTCAAAAATCCCTTTTTACCTAACCCCCATTTTTCATATATTTAAATAACTGATAATCATACTTATATTTCCAATTCCCATTCCCGCCTCGTTTTGTCTGATTTGTCTGGCAATAAAAAAGCACAATGAATAATAATAAAAAAATGGTTATGGGTCTTTTGTCTGAGGGTCTTCTTTCTTTGGGTCATCTGGCAGTGGAAAAATTTACACGGAGGAAATCTTATTATATCTCTGTTGTAAAGATTTTTTTCAACTTTCATTTAAGGATATTTCTGAGAATTCAAAGAAGATCCTCGTAAAATAATTAAACACAAAGCTGACAATTTCAACTGTTCATTGAATGGAAAATTATTAATAAGCTTGAAAATGTGATTAAAAATACTCAATAAACTTCACAAATTTTTCTTTCATTGAAAAAATGGATTTGAAAATGCTATTCCTTTATATTTACATAATCAAAATTCTCTTGAAAATATTACTATATGTTTAGGAGGTTACTTTTTTAAATTATTTTCAAAGTTTCCCGATTTTATTTAATGTTAAAAAATCTTAGGTTGTAACACCGAAGATGAGAAACTTATTTTCAACTAACAGCAATTATTAAAGTAAAGCTACATTGAAATTGTTTATTATTAATTAAATATTATTTAATTGCTATTTTGTATCTGTCAACGTTACATAATTTATATTCAATACAAATCTGTTCATATTATTATTTAGCAATACTAAAAAATTCAATATTGAAATATGCCAATTATTTGTTAATGACAACAATATTGGGTACTACTGAAGATTGTGGGGCTCTTTCTGCGGACTTTTTTTGCGGACTTTTCCTCCCTTTCTTTTGAATGTTTTACTTGTAGCAACTAACTGTCAACGCCCCTCCCCTATTATTTTTCTTACATAAGATTGTACATAAAGGTCAGATTTTCTTCTTCCTCTCCTTTTTTTATTTGCCCTGTGGCAAATTCAAACGAGACATTGATAAAGAGAAGATTAGTTTTTATAGTCATACACTTATTTTTTTGCCTTATGCTACGGTTACATAAAAATCGCGCGCGACACGCGACAGTCGCTAGGCGACATGTCGCCGACGACAGTCGCTAGTGGCGTGGTTACATAAAATCGGCGTCTTCCGCAAAAGCGACTGTCGCAAAGCGACAAACGCTGATTTTATGTAACCACGCCACTAGCGACTGTCGCGCGCGTCTTGTCGCCTAGCGATTGTCGCGTGTCGCGCGCGATTTTTATGTAACCACTAAATTATTAGTTTTTCTATCTTTTTCAACTATATTTTCTTTATTTATTTATCTCTAATTTTCACGGTGGTGAAAGTCAGAGTACTGTAATGTATAGGACAATTTGTTGCCACTATTTTATTGTGGCTTTTATATTGTGATTTTTTAGAATTTTTCCATTGATATTTCGATTAGAGGTAGGCGCGGGACAGGATCCCGACGAGATTTTCCGGGATCCCGATCTTAAGGCCTTATAAAATTCTCTAAATTTTCGCCTGCGGCGCTGGAAGAGGATGAAATCTGGTTTCTTGGCTTTTAAAAATTCTAAAAAATTTTGCACTGAGCAGGTCTCCCCGAGCCTTCGGGTTCGGGATCGTTGGGGATCAGGCTTTGCCAGTCAGAGCATGTCGTGTTCCGGGGTCGTGTTTGACCTTTGGGTCTGGGTTAGGGTCATGTGCCAGAGTCAATTATTTATCTCCTGGCGTTGGGAATATAATTATTTTCTCTTGGAAAAATGTATTTTAAAATTTAAAAATTTAATCGGTGAAGTTTAATCGCATAAAATGGGGACGGATATCCGCGGATTTGGAGCATCATATCCGTATCCATCCGTATCCGTCCAGTTTTTAAAAAAACACTATCCATATCCGTCCATAAGGAAATGTATCCGTCCATAACGTCCATAAGGAAACTATCCATAAGGAAATGGAGATACAGTACTTCAAAAAATATTTTAAACCCCTAGAACTTTAATAAAAAAATTTCTTTTAGGCTCATTTTAAAGCCCATAAAATTTCAAAAAAATTCAAAAAATTCTTTTTATCTTTTTTTCCTCCCCAAAATAGGGAGGAACTCATCAAGAAATTGTCACTTTTTCATGTTTTTGATATCATTTGATAGAGAATCAAAAGCTCTACAACATATCAAAAAATCAGAATTTTTGACCGTTGATAAAAAAGTTATAATATAAATACTCGATGGCATACTGAATATCTCAAAAATATCGAAAAAAAGAACATTTTTTGCAAAAAGTATACCTTTTTCAAAATCAATTTTAACCCATAAGATTTAACTTTAAAAATATAAAATTTATATTGATCGATAGAGAATAAACTGAACTTTCAGAATCTTTTTAAATTTTGAAAATCGGATCAGAATTGATCGAGAAATAGCATGTCGCAAAAAAGTGTCGCCAAAAATTCAAACATGTTTGAATCAAAAAAAGTGTCGCCGGCGACAAGTCGCCGGCGGAAATCGCATTTTATGTAACCACTCAAAAAAGCGACAAAGTCGCGCGCGACAAGTCGCCGGCGGAAGTCGCGGTTTATGTAACCACTCAAAAAAGCGACAAAGTCGCGCGCGACAAGTCGCCGGCGGAAGTCGCTTTTTATGTAACCACTAGAAAAAAGCGACAAAATCGCGCGCGATTTTTCTCTCCTCTTTTTACATTATCTTTTCTGTCGCGTGTCGCGCGCGATTTTTATGTAACCGTAGCATTAAAAAGCATTAAATAAAATTGATTTGGTGTATAACATTATGAATTTCTGTGTAAAAACATTACATTCTTATGTATATTTAAAAATATTGAACAACTGAAAAAATAAATTGAACTTAATATTGAACAATTCAATTAAAAATATTGAACAACAATTAATTTTAATATTCTCTTTATCAACAATGTCTTGTTTGAATATGCCAAGCTCAAATAGAGGAAAGAGAGGAAGAAGGAAATCTGACCATTTTATACAATCTTAGGTAATAAAAATAATAAGGGGGGACAAGGTTTGAAAGTACACGCATTTCTGTTCCACAATCACATGTTCTTTTTATTTCCGAGATCAGTGATCCATTGTTGAAGTTCATCGAGTAATTGAAATCGTTATAATGTTTAAATCAATGGTGAACACATTTTTCAAACTGACAAAAATTAATCCTTTGACAGTTAGTTGCTACAAGCAAAACTTGCTGCAAGCAAAACAACCAAAACTTTAAAAAATACATTTGAAAGAAAGGGAGGAAAAGTCCGCAAAAAAAGTCCGCAGAAAGAGCCCCACAATCTTCAGTAGTACCCAATATTGAATATATTTCAATATATTTTGAATAATTTAGTTAGTGAAAACTTTAAAATCAAATTTTTTAATGATGACATTATGGAAAAATTGCGAGATAATTTAATTAATATTTTAATAAATGAAAGAAACAAATTTCAAGTAGTTATTCGAAATTTTTTTTAGTCTTTAATAATTATTTGTGATAATATTGTTGGATTGTTATTTACAATTTTTTTATTAATCTGAATTTTTATAAAAGCATAAGTATTAAATTAAGCGAAAAAGCCAAAAATGTTGAAATAAAACAATTTCTTTGCAAAAATACAGATTAGCACGTTATTAATATTTACAATTCAAAAGTGAAATTTTTATTTTGCAGTGAAAATATTGTGCGTGGTATTGTGCGTGTGGACTATGACTCCGGGTGAGTAGAGCTCTTCTATTCACATAAGTCTTTATTCTTATCCTATTATAACTAAAAGTGATGTTCTAATCTGTTATGGGTAAACTTATCCGAAATGATGTGATTTTTAGATAAAGGCTTGAAATTATTTCAATTGTCAAGACTCAGATATTGTTTACTTTCAAAAAAATTAAATTTTAACGATTTTAATTTGAACAATTTTACTCCTTATTAGAGGAGAAAGAAGGAAGGAGAACTATTTCAATGTCACATTATTTTATCAACCAAAATTAATCTTTTTTTCAATTAAAAGATAAAAATTGATTAACAAAAATTGCTTTCAAAAATTTCTTTTGGTAGTCAATAATTTCAATTTCCTTCTATTTAATAAATACTTAGAAAATTGCTATACATCTTAATTAAAATAAAAATAAATTTAAAATGCAACAAGAATTCTGTGATGAGTATGTTAAACAATTCCCTTTAACTATGAGGATTGAAAGGTTGTTGAGACAGTTTGAGAGTGGACATCATGCAGTGTCTGTTGTAGAAGGAATCACTTCTGATTTAATCGGATGTGGTGAATCCACTAAAGTAAATTTAAAAAAATATTTTTATATTATCAAAAAAAGATGACATTCTTAACACAAGATCAATTTAAACGAACAGAGAAGGGATTGATTGTACTTATTTATTCTATGATTTGTCAATTTTTCCCAGAAATAGCGTTGATTGAAAATGCTACACGGATGAAATTTCTTCAGAGGTTCTACGACCAGTTTGTTCCAATTTACCGTGCTGAAATGACTGTAGGAATATTTATAATTTCAGCCATCCATATAAGATCGGTCTGGGTATTGGGCATTCGTGGATTTGGCTCCAGAGCCGGCGATTTTTGGAACCGCTCAATGTTGGTACGAGTGGATATTCATTAAATACCATTTCGTCGGAAGATATGATTGGATCTCATACCTCCCATCTTTTGCTCACTTCGTTGTATATCACCCATCTTTAGAGATGTATAGCCGAAGCATCTTTAGAGGTGTAAAACCTTGGCTCCGGCTCTGGGTATTCCAAAACATTGCTCCGGGTTTTCAAAATATTAGCTCCAGCTCCGTGCCATATCCTTACTGAATATGATACACTTTTATCACGTGATAATAGCTTGATTTGATCATATCGATTACTCTGATCCCCATAATTGTGTCTGGCTTAGTTATATATTTTAAGGTTAGGAAGTTTTCTGATCCAGAATTGTCATATGCAATAGTATTACCAGGCGGATGTGTTGATCTAAATAATTTGGAGGAAGTTATTGATATAAAAAATTTAGAACATAGGAGACAGTAAAAATTATTTTAGTTCCATATAACCTTAAGTATTTTCAGAATTTCTTCGGCTTTTTGTATTCGTATATCTGATTTTATGAATAAAAAATATAGACCTTTGAATATAACTAGACTAGAATTTGCTTCAATAGTTGGTCTATTATTTTGGAATTGTGGTATCTATTTCTAAATTTATTTATGAAGAATTAAAATTATTTTATTAACAGATAAGGAAATAATAGTCTAAGTTTCCCTTCCTACTTTTGCGCCAACCAGATGTAAATCGGAATTCAGATTTGCCTTTGTCATTTTCGATTCACCTCTGGCGCCAACCCCCATAATTTTATAATTTGATGAAAAATAAGGGAGAGGCAGTAAGGAGTTGAATGCAGCAAAATGATTTTTTAAGTATGCTTTTACGGAACAGCGAGCTGAACATTTACTAAAATAGTTCCCAATGTTAAGCCAATTTAATCTATTAAATTTTAATTTATTAAATATATATTCAGGATAGGCTACTTTGATTTATTGTAGAACAAATTCAAAACATTAAATACAATTTTAATTAATTTCAGTTGAGCGAATCTTATCAGATTTTATTGAAGAAAAAATAATTTTATCAAATCGCGATCAGCTATATGCAGAATTACATGCAATAATTGTTAAAAATAAATTGAATTGTTCAAATAATTCTACTACAAATAATTTTCCTTTTTCACCAATTTTTAATGAGTCTTCTATTAGATTTGGACGTTTATTGGATCTTTTGAGTCACTTGACTGTAAATATTAAATTTTATTTCAATAAATATTTTATTTCTTCATTAGATTTTTTCATGGGAAAGTGCTGAAGTATTTCAAATGGCCAAAATTTTCATGGATTTACCAGATTTGTGGGATGAAATTAATTTGCCTAATAATACTAAATAAATAAAATATTTTATGCTTTATTGTGTTTTATACAATAGAGTTGTAAATTTATTTAATATATAATGTTCATTGTTGATAATAAATTTTCAGAAATAAAATATCATTGAATTATACGAAAAAATTTTAATTTTATTAATTGTGTTTTGATTATTCCAAATTCCCTTCTAAAGTCAGTACTATAGTCAGCAGAAAAATATTTTTAAAGATATGGCTTTAAAGATAAGATTAAAACTAGAGTTGGACTAGTCGAGATCGATATCGATATATCGTCTTGAATATCGGTTATTTTCCAATATCGATATCGGTTTCATCCGATATCGATCTCGAAACCGATACGAGAATATACTCATCAATGTAGATAATATTAACGAATAAATTTTTCAGTTCCATTAATATTTGTCTTACAAATCAAATTTGTAGCAGCATTAAAAATATTTTATAACCAAAAAATTAAGTTAGTGTTCCATAATTATAAGTTCACCTTTGTTTTATCAGTTATATAGTGGGAAAATTCCACAAAATTTTTTGTGAAAATATGTATCAATATAGATAAGAAATAAAAAGAAATGAAGTTTTAACTCCCATCATTGAATCTTGAAACTCGAAAATCAACAGAAAACCGGGGGTATGATAAAAAAACAGAAGATATGATAAAAATAACAGAGACCTTATAATTTTGGAACAGAGTATATCTTATGAATGAATGTGTTATGTGTTATGAGTGAGAGTGACCTGTTATTCTATTATTGCAATTTAATGGCTATCTAAATGATTTAAATAAATAAACAAGTATTTCTCAATAATTTTAAAAGAAATACCGACTAAAAGTGCAAAATAATTTTTTGAAATAAACACAAAATACGTTTTTAAACAAAAAGTACAAAAATGTGCACTATAAACAGGATGTCAGACCTTTTAAATATTTCTTAATTAGCTTTAATGTACTATTCACATGAATTAATCATATGAAGGAAATTATTTCTCAATATTTAATCTTAAATGCCAGACAAAAATTTGTATATAAAAACAGTCTAAATCAGTCTTAAATCTAAAAAAATAATTTTATTTAAAAGTTTTAATGAAAAATAAAATTAAATGTTTTGTTGTTTTATTTATTTTATTATTTTCTTTTTCTTCTTCAAATTTACAAAATAATCAACGAATTGTGGTTGAATCTACAGAAAATAATAAAAATAAAAATGGAAGTGTTAAAATAAATTTGTTGAGAATGGAAGTAAATAAAATTGATGAAGTATTTAGCGAGTATAAAATTGAAATTATATATGAAATTGATGAAAATAATAAAAATGATTACGTTTATACAAGTTTCGGGCCTCCTTATGATTGTAATGAACCTGATCAAAATGCACACAAAATAAAAAGAATAATTAATGGAACTAATGGGAAAAAATTAATTTTGTTTGAGGGTGTTGAATATGTTATAAAATTGAAAAAAATAAATATTTGCTTGATAGAATATAGTGAAATTTCTGAGATTGAAGAGAAGGTGGATTTTGGTAGATTAAAAAGATATCGAGTAAATCAGATGATTAAGATAGATATCGAGGGATTAAAAGATTAAGCGGGTTTTGATTGCATTATCTATGAGCCAAGATAAAGAGGCTCAAAATGGTGCGAAAATCTATGGGGCGTCGGCGAGGCGCTTGTTGCGGCACGCGTCTCGCAAGGAGTCTACGATCGCTGGGTTATGGGCTCGTAAATTAATCCGACCCTATACGCAAATGAGGACCTTAATCCTATTCCTTTTTACTGATTCTCAGCTTTGAATGCCGACCTATCTTCAGTAGCAACACCTACAGTTATTCAAACGAAAGTTAGTTGTTCATAATTTTTTTTAGAATCATCGGATCGAGCTGGTGTCATTTAACTCAGCTCGTTGAGCTATTTCAAATAATTTATCTTTTGTATATTCGAATTTTTCGGCCCTATCCCAAAAGAAGGGCGGAATCGTTTTTTTCATTAAATGTAAGGAAAGGAAAAATGGAAAGGTAAAATGAAGAAAATGGAAATGAAAAAGGAGACGGATAGACACGGACAAATAAAACACGGACGGACTCGGACAGACAAAACACGGACGGACAAAACACATAACATCGTCCGTGTTTAGTCTGTCCGAGTCTGTACCACTCTTTTTTTCATCTCCGTAAAAAAGAGTGGTACCGTTCGCTCAGCTTACCAAAACGAATCGAATGGTATGGGTATTATATCGAAACCTTTCCACCGGTATACTATACTACAGCTTCCGTAGAATACTTTTGATTGAAGTTATGTAAATAAATACTTCACTCCGAACTTTTTTGTCACGCTGTAAAATGCGTTCATAATAATTAGAGTTCGAACCCGGGCCGGGCCCGGACCGGTTTTTTCCGGGCCCGGTGGCCCGGAACCGGGTATTTTTGAGAAAATCCGGTTTTTCCGGGCTAACCGGTTTTTCCGGTTTTATCCGGAAAAACCGGCCCGGGTGCGATTTTGAGTAAAAAAACCGGGTCCCGGGCCCGGTAATTTTTTGCCGGGCCCGGAGAGTCGCCTCCGACGGTGAAAATAGAAGAAATCTGGCCTCTTGGCCTTCCAAAATTCTCAAAATTTTCGCCTGCGACGTTAAAAAAGAAGAAATCTAGCTCTTGTAATCTAAATCTTGCTCCTAGTCCACACAAATTCTCAAAATTTCCGCCTCCGGCGGTAAAAAAGGAAAAAATCCGACTTGTTGGCTTTTCAAAATTCTCAAAATTTTCGCTTGCGGCGCTTGAAAAGAATAAAAGGGATTTTTATTGATATCGGAGGATTAACTCAAATTCTCTCGATATCCCTATTAATCACCATCAGTGGATTTAAGTGAAAAGTAGGATTTAAAGAGGAAATCGGAGGATTAAGGGGGATATTATATTTGGAATTACTATGAATCCCTTCAAATTCATAATCTTCTATATCCCTCCAAATCATATGGAGGCTTCCCAAATACTTCAAGTCCACTTATTTTCTTAGAATACAAATTATTTCAAAAATTGCGGATTACGGACTGCGGATTTTAAAATTCAAATTTCGGCTGCGGAAAATTTTTTTTCACTTTCGGACATCCCTGCTATCTATCCTTTAGCGCATCTATCCTTTGATTCATCTATTTTTTAATCGATCCTTTGTATGTTTTCCGATGTTTTGTATGTGTGATAATTTTTTTATGTTTTTAATAAATTTAGAAAAAACCGGGTCCGGGCCCGGGTCTGAAAAAATCCGGTTTTTCCGGGCTAACCGGTTTTCCGGATTTATCCGGAAAAACCGGCCCGGGTGCAACTTTGAGAAAAAAAAACCGGGTCCCGGGCCCGGCATTTTGAAAAGTTCGAACTCTAATAATAATTTATTTTGCAAATGAAAAAAATTAACCGCTCATTTATTGTGTAAGGGTTAAACACTCAAATAACACTTAATTATAGTGTTATTAATTTTAATTTTGGATTAGATAGCCCTATCTCCCATTTTAAATAATTTACACACAATTCTTGTACATTATCTGAATATATTTCATTTTCAGAAGTTATTGATCAAATTGGTACCTACATTTTTTTCACAAATTGATTTGGAGATAAATAAACTTTCAAATGAGAATGTAGAAAAAGCTGCTATTTTTCCCGGTGCTCAAATAAGTATAAACGGGATTAAATCATTTTTATGGAATTTATCAAAAAAATTAACAAGATTAATATGTTTTTTAAATCCGGAAGGGCCTAGAAAAGTTTTGAAAAGAGAAAATTTTAGCAAAGCTAATTTTTTTGATTCAATAACATTAAAAGGCAAAAAGCATGAAGAGAAAATGGAATATTCTTACATTGAAATTTGTATAAAATTTGAAAATCCAGGCAATTATTTTATTATTCTTGCACATGATCTTCGTATTGGTTGTCTTCAATTTTACGTTCAAATTAAAAAAGCAAAAGAGGAAAGATGTGTGTTTAAAGTGTTCAAGAAAATTTCAGAGTTGGAGAAAAAAGTATTGAAAAGTTTGAGACAGCGTTTAACAATCTATATATCAAAATCAGAGGTAAACGATATTGAAGATGGTTTGGGAACAATTTACACCGAAAAATATACAAATTTGGCTATTGCTGCCACGATTGATCCGGTGATAGATGGAATATATGAATTTTAATTGAATAAGGAGGGAAGAATAATAGAATTTTTTGAGAATTATTGAGCGAATATTTAAAAACGAAAATTCATAAAAAATGAAAACTTTTCAATAAAAATTTTTTTCTATAAATTAAAATTTTAACCATTTAGTACAGCAAATTTTTTTTTCTAAAATAGGTGATAAACATAGTGCTGCTCGGAAATAAAAATTTACCGAGACTCGATAACTGAGATCGAGATAGATTTAGGGAGAAGAAAACCGGAACGTAAGATCTAAACCTGATAACCGCTAAAAAAATCGCTTTTAAATTTTTAAATTATTTTATTCTGATTTTGTACCCACCAAACAATTCTCTTTCAGTACATAAAAGCTAAATAGTTAAGTCTGAAAAGAGACAGTTCAAAAAAGCTTCTCGTTTTAAATATCCCAACACTAATTGAATAAAATTGAATAATAATAAATTTTATTTTCAATTTACATAGTAAATATTGAAATTTTTGATATATAAAAATAAATAAAAATATTTTGAAAAAATCATCTCTCTCTTTCTTCCAATTTATTTCTTTCTTCCCCACAAATTATTTAAAATAGATCCACTGGTTAATCCATCAACATAAAATAGTTGTCTTTTAAATCTCGGAATTATATCAGAATTAATTTCAGAATTTTCAATATCCAATGTTGGATGTGTTAAGTATTGCTGTCTTTCACTCATTCGCTTCTTTCTCCACAAATTATTTAAAATAGTTCCAGAAGTATAAAAATCTGCCCAACGTTTATTTGCTTGTTTTGAATTCAAAAAATTTTCAGTATCCTCCTCATCTGTTCTAATTTTATTTTTATTTGTAATTTCAGTTAAATCTCTCCTTTTTCTCCACAAATTATTCAAAATTGTTCCACTCGTAAATCTATCAACATATTGGGCTTGAACAGAAGAATGCTCCCAAACTTGAATTAATATAAACATTAAAAACAAAATTGTTGTTGGGCGTAGAAATGTTGTAAAAGTAGACATTTTGTAATTTATGTTTTACAATTTGTAAAAGAAAAAGTTTATTTTTTAAGCAAGTTTGTTGCAATTGTAAAACTTGAAGAAAATTCTTTTTAGAATAAGTTGTGAATAATTGTAAAACTTGTTTTACAATTTGTGGTATTTAATTGGGAAAAAGTTTATTTTTGTAATAAGTTTATTTTTTGAATAGGCTTATTTTTAGAATTGTAAATTTAAAGTTGTAAACTTGAAGTTTTATTTTATTGGAAGAAGAATGTTTAAAGAATAAGTTTGATTAAATTGTAAAACTTACTTCTCTTTTTATACTCTCAAAAATAATTTCAAGTTTGTAGTCTACAATAAATCAACTACAAATCTTTCTTTCCCTTTCAATTCAAACATTCTTACGAAATACAATTAAAAATTAATTTACGCGCATCAACAAGTTCCAAAAATATTTATTTTCCTTTTTGGGCGTTTAATTCATTTATAACTTAATTGGTTATTTAACTTGTTTTTGGACAAATAAACATGATTTTTGCATACATTTTTTTGTTTGTATTTTGTAGTTTTTTGACAAAAATTACAATTGTCCAAAAAATGATTTTTAAAATTTTTTATTTTTTAAGGTAAATATTAATTTAAATTTAATTTTTATTTTTAAATAAAATTAAAATTATTAAAACTTAATATTTCATAATATTATTCACATTTATCGACTCGTAACTTTTTAATGGGCGATCAGACATGATCCATCAAGTTAAAATAAAGATAGCGATTATTGAGGGCTTTTAAATGATACAAGTTTATTAATTCGGAAAAATCGAGGAGAAAAAAATGGTTGGGGATATCCGAACAGTAAACTTAATTTTATGTAAAAAAATTCAAAATCACAAGATTTTATAATCTATGAAAACTATATTTATTAATTTTAACACTTTAAAAAAATTTTAAAAAATTTCTAGGCCTTCAATAGTTTATAGCCATTTATAGTCCTACAAAAGACACAATTTATTTTTAGTTGTAAACACTTTTCTTTCTAAAAAAATTTCAAGATCATTAATTCCTTTTTTCTTTCATTTGTGTGATCGTTTAATGCGGGGTGGGGTGAGGGTGTTAATTCAGAATTAAATTAAAAATTAAACTCAAAGTACTCTATTTTAAGATCAAAATTGAAATTAAACCCAAAAATGATAGATGATTAAAAAAATTTTAACTTCATTATCTTCAATTTTTCCCTTTTTCCTTTAAAGATCGTTTTTGGTACACATTTTTATTACCTACAAATTTGTAATAAATTTAAACTTTAAATTATATTAAGATCAATTATGCTAGAATAAATAAACTTGAATTACAATTTACAAATTAACTTAAGATAAAATCAAATTACAATTGTAAACTTGAAATGCAGAACAACATGTAATAGAAACTTAATTACAATCTTATAACTAAACTTAAATTTTCAAAACTTGAAGCAAATTTGTAAACTTGCTTTAATATAAGCTCAATCACAAACTTAAGTAACTTGAAATACTTGAAAGAAAAAAAACTTGAAGCAATTTTGTAAACATGCTTCAATATAAACTCAATTAAAACTTGATTAGGTAACTTCAATCACAATTAAAATTATAATACAAAACTTAAATGAATTATTTATACGTAATAAAATTAAATTTTATTTAAACTACATGTTTTAACTAAGTTCAAAATTAAAATTTTTAAACAATCGGAAACAAATTTATGTAAGAAAAAAGGAATATGTATGTATTAACTAAAATAGGTATATCATTTTTGCTTCCTTTCTTCATCCTTAATTTTTGTAGACCAAGAATTAATAATTAAAAATAATATCCATTTAAAACATTTAAATGTCACCCAAAACAAAATAACCAAAACAATTATAGAGAAGAGAATAACATCAAGTGAATAATAAACAAACCAATTCATTTCCTTTTCTCCAGGTAAATTAAGTTCTGGCAAATCTCCAAATTCTGCAGCAAATTCAACCCATTTTGCAAGTCTTTCTGTTGGGCTGAATGGAGTTAAGTTTAATTTTTTGGATATTATTTTGGCGTTTTGTTGATATTTAGGTTGGTAGAGAATCTGGAATTTTGGAGGTGATTAAAATTTATTTCTCCAATGTTACCCTTTCCAATGCCTCTCCCAAAACATTTTTACCGCTGCCTCCTTTCAAGTGAGATACATCTACTTGAACTCCCAAACCTCTTGTTTCTCCAACAATACAATTGTAAAATTGATCTCCAAAAAGAGGAATCCCAATAATAGGAACGCCTGCCCGTGCTGACTCAGTCAAACTGTTCTGGCCGCAATGTGTGATAAATGCGCGAGTGTTTGGATGTGCTAGAATGATATAAAAATTCAAAGTTTTGAGATCTGTCTTGGGCGAGTTCGTGTAATATCCAATGGAATAGTTCGGGACTCGTGTAGAGAAGAGAGTCAAGTATTTGTTGTGAGAATGGATGAGAGAAAGATCAGAAAAGAAGGAGAAGCTGCCCCTAAGGGCAAGCTTCTACGCGTAAATATAAATGGATTCGTAAAAACTAATAATATATTCTATGCTTAATGATCATTACAAAACCACCAGCCTCTACTCCTGTAGTGTCCAACATTAATTTTTACCAAAACTAAGACCAAAGCCCAGGGCATCTGTTAGGATATTTCGTAATTACAATTTACCCAGAATTGCAGGTTGCCTCAACCACTGAAAATTATGAACATTCGGTGCAGATTCAAACATTTTTAAATTATTATTCACTGTTTCATTATCAACTTTCCAAATAAAATGAATTTTAGGAAATCGTCGAAATGCCCCAATAATAGATTTCATCATCCGTTCATTAAGTTTTGTTGTATCCGTAAGAGAACCAAACGAAAAAAGAACTGCCCCTTCTTTTGCCTCGTCTAATATTCTTCGAGTTTTCTTTAAAATTCCAAAATTAAAATGAATTTAATAAAAATTTATTGCCTCATCCAATTTTTTGCTTTCCTCAGATGCCATATCATCAACAAGTCCACCTATATAAACAACTTTGCTAGAAATTGGACGAGTCAATTCTAAAAATGGATTCGAGTTTATAAATATTAGAGAAGTATTTTTGACTAGTTCTTTCAAATTAGGGAAATCTTGGCCAAATTCCTCTCGGATAATTTTGTCCTTAAAAATATTTACTTAAATTATGTGAACAATTAAAACTTGAGTTCGAAAATAAGTTTCATCAATCCAAAGCCAATCGAGAAATTCATTGTAAAAATTGAGCAATCTTAAGAAAAAGGAAGATTCAAGTCCAATTCTGGGAGCCATTGCATCTAAAAATTTTACAATATTCCTAACTTTATTTTTAAGTATATTCTCAAGTTTTATTAATTTGCATCAACCAGGATATATATTATGACCTTCCTATATGAAATGATACCGGCATTCTCAGAGTTTATCACTAATCTCACACTATGATTTGTTATATATATAAAATACTCATCCAAAATGGTGTCGCGAGCACACATTGAGACAAAGTACAATGTGCGCTCACGAAATTTCGCTCTTAGGCCGTCGCGCCGTTCCTTTCCCATACAATAATAAATAAATGTTTTTTACACTAAACCTAGTCATTTTTCTTTCTTTACTAGGCTAAGCAGATAACGATCGTCAGAAAGCCAAGCCACTTTCCCCGACAGAAGAAAGAAGATGAACGCCCAACTCATTCATACATAAGAAAATGGCTTAACCGTTTTATGTTAACTTATATTCTTTTTCAATTAAGTTAATTTTTATTTATTTCAAATAAATAAATTTTTTGTTATTAGATTTATCTAACCAATAAATCCTTTTAGTAACTTAGATCATACTAGGGTGTGTAGTACGGGGAGTATCAACCGGAGAAAACCCCCGGATTATACGTTGGAGTCCGGAATAACCCAAACTTATTTAAGATCCAATCGTGTCATCGATTGTATATAAAATCTAATCGTGTCAGCGATTGTATATAAGATCCAATCGTGTCATCGATTGTCAAAGCCGTCGAGATTTAGTAAAATACTTATAAATTAAGATAAACATTTCTATTTGCTGACAATCAACTATTTCTGCTTATTAATATTTAAACTTCGAAAGACAACAGAGACTAAACCGTCGAGGTTAGTCAAATTGCGCACTAGTTATCAAGAGACAAAAAGACATTTAATATTTTCAGATCGATCAGCAAAATTATAGAGAATTTGCTTTTGATAATGGGTATTCAATAATTATGTATTGACTAGGATTTTACCCGCCCCCAAATGTTGGCGAATTTGAGACGGCGCCATCGGGACCGAAAAATTTGAAAAAACCGATTCCCTGAAATTTTTTCGTAAAAATATTCCCCTCCCCCCTCCCCGTCGGGGAAAACCTTAGTATTGATATCAGCTCTGGCTAGACCTTGGTGGTAATCCCGTTTCGTAATAAACCTTTTTATATACATGAATTAATTATATTATCTGTAGTATCAGCAAAAGAACCCGAGGCACTAAATTCCTAATTTTAACAATTCATAATAATAAAAAAGATAAATAAATTAATAAAACTTTACTTGGCATGAAGCTGGCAAAGCTTGGGATATCGAACTTTCGGCTAATCATTTGAATTAAATGAATAGCGGCAACTTTTATTTTTGTTCGAACTTTAAGTTTATGGAAAAGAGCTGCAGGACAATAATCATACATTTCTGCTATCCCCACATCAAAATGTTCATTAGTCAATTTTTGTATCAACTCATGTTCTTTAAGTGTATCTACAAATAAAGAGTAATTAGGTTGTTAGGGAGAGCCAAAGAGAGGATAACGTCCGGTTTTTCTGTACTTCCAGATTTTCAGGGTTACTACAAAACATGCTTGGTTCAGTTGGAAAAAAACCCGGAGAATGTTGAACCAACTAGATGTTTTATTATTCAATGGCTTTAATTCGTGGGCTTTTATTTGAAACAGGCATATAGGAGCATTTAATGTATATTACAAGTTCAAATACCTTTACATACAGTAGCCATGATTGGATCGAACTCAATAATTGGATGATCAAAAAAGGTCAAAAATGGCCGCCTTTGAGAGAAGGAATCTGCGACTAGATGCATATTTTTAACGTCCACTTTTTTCGCGTTTGCCAAACTAGGTTTAATTTGATGTATCCTTTTTACCTTCCTCGTTTCATTTTTAAGTTGTAAATCTGGGCTCATAATGTATTTGAGGAAATGCTTTAAAAATATAATTTAGAAATTATTCTGTATTATTAAATCTTTAATGATTTCGATAGTGAGTTGAATGGGTTGAAAAACTTTTTAAAAATGTAAAAATTCTTTTAAAAAGGGCTTGTGATCCATCGAGCTTGCGCTCATCAATTAAAATTTTTAAATATATATTTTTGTCTTTGTAATTTTAAATGCCTGAATCACTCACTGCTGAAAACAGACGGCATTGTCAATGACTACCAAATGACTTAATAATGTCAGGATTTTGCCGTTTTGTACATATTTCTGTTAATATTTTTGGGGTCATATAATGACAATGGAATCAAAATTTCCAAAATACAAGAGGTTTTAGTCCATATTTTTGAATTAATAGTCCATATGAAATTAACCCTTATTAATAATGACTAGATGACTTAATTAACTAACCACTTCATGGCCAGCATCAACTAAAGTATCCGCAATCCTTCCCAAAAATTGGCCATGACTCCAGCTTAAAGAGGGTGAATATACAAGTATTTTGAGTTGTTTTCCTTTTTTAAATTCTGATTTTAAATTATCAGAATTGTGTTGTAAAGTAAATAAAATTAAAGTTGAAAAACATAATGTTGGATATAAATATTTAAGAAAATTGAAGTGTACAGAAATCATAATAATTGTGTATTTTAGAGAAATATTCTACTAAGAAATTTTAAATTTAGTAAATTAAAAAAATATTTAATTTTTTATTCCTTTTGTTCATTTAATTTCCGTTTAATTTCTCTATTAAATATTTTAAATTTAAGTAAGTTATTGACAGGAAGATTTTATAATTATTTGGAATAATTCCGGAATGAAAAATAAATTAATAGAAAATCAAAAATTCTCTTTTAAAAACAAATTTTAACTTTAAAGAAAAGTATTCTCTTTAAAGATCGCCCATACTAGGGTGTCCATTATTCGACCCTTGTTCGCTCTTAGCCGCCTATATAACCTGTTGAATCAGCTGGAAAATAGCTTGTTCACATTAATTTATTTTCCTAAATCAAAATAAATTTTTATTTAAACTAGAATAATCGCTAGGTATTTGTTTACTTGGTAAGAAAATTGTGAAGAATTCCATTGAAATGTTAACGTAATCCTTAGTCAAATTTAAACTACATTTCTTATCAATTAATTTAAAGGATCTAAATTTTTACGATTCATAAACTATAATATAGATAAGTTAAAATTAAAAGGAATGTGGAAAAAATTGATCGTTAAAAATTTAGTAAAAAATAAAAATAAATTTGATTGTAAACATTCTAAGCAAAAATGTGCATGTCTTGTATGTATAGGATTAGTCTTGAAGTGAGAAGCTTATAAATGGTAATTTAAAATTGCTAGATCGAGCAATTTCTTGATGCTTATATATAATTGTATGTATATTTCGTCAGCTTTTGATAAATTCCCTCACTAAAAATTATTTTTTGGCAAAGCTCTGACGTCAAAATTTATACAGAAAAATTAATACAAACATAATTTTGTTATCAAAATAAAAAAATATTCATCCTTGCTTCAACTTTGTTTCTTTTCCTTCAGTTTTTGTAAACCAAAAGTTAATAATTCCAAATAATATCCATTTAAAACATTTAAACGTCACCCAAAACAAAATAACCAAAACAATTATAGAGAAGAGAATAACATCAATTGAATAATAAACAAACCAATTCATTTCCTTTTCTCCAGGTAAATTAAGTTCTGGCAAATCTCCAAATTCTGCAGCAAATTCAACCCATTTTACAAGTCTTTCTGTTGGGCTGAATGGAGTTAATTTTAATTTTTTGGATATTATCTTGGCGTTTTGTTGGTATTTAGGTTGGTAGAGAATCTGGAATTTTGGAGGGGATTAATATTTTTGGCTAATAAAAAGCCTCTTACACTCCTTATCGCTTCAACCAAAACATTTTCAGCATTAGGCCCACTCAAATCATTAACATCTATTTGAATTCCTAGACCCCGTTTTTGAGCAATATCAGCATTGTAAAATTGGTCAGCAAAAAGTGGAATTCCAACAATTGGAATGCCCGCAATTGCTGATTCTGTTATACTGTTTTGGCCGCAATGTGTAATAAATGCTCGGAGATTGGGATGTGCTAGAGCAAAATAAAAAAAATAAATTTTATAAAGCTTCAACAACTTTAAAATTTATAATTATTTTAATTTTAAGAAGGAGTTGGACTTCGAACCATCTAACTCCGACCAGGACCCTGAAATATTTTATCAAACCTGACCCCGACATTGGCAATTCACGACAAACCTTATCCCGAACATTACAACCTCGAGGGTCGAGTTCAAACCTACTTAAGAATAGTGTGTTAATCTAACTCGACCATAGTTCTGAAATATTTTATCCAATCTGACCAAGGGATTGGCAAACCACGACATACCCTCCTACCCTGAACTTTAAAATTTCGAAGGGTCGAGGTCGAAACCTAGTTAAGGATAGTGTGGTCTACGATAGGTCAAACAAAACGGCCAAAGACATCCCACCAGAGAATAGCCAAAGATCGGATAGGAGATGATCCTAAGAGCTTTCCGATTTAAAATAGTTAAGGACATAACCATCCACTAGCAAGTTTCATTTTTTGCTCTGTGTTGTTTAGGTCAACAAACTCACCTAGAATTGCAGGTTGTTGAAGCCACTCAAAAGCATGCACATTTGGCAATTTTGAAATATTACTAATTGTATCCTTGTCAACTTTCCAAAGGAAATGAATTTGGGGGAATTGTTTGAATGAATTAATAATTGAATCCAACATATGTTTGCCGATTCTGGTTGTTTCTGTAAGAGAACCAAAAGAGAAAAGGACAGCACCTTCCGTTGCTTGATCCAAAATAAGCTGAGTTCTCTATTTAAATTAAAATAAAAATGGGAAGATAATTCGGAAGTTACTTGATCTAATTTTTTGTTTTCTTCTGATTGATCATTTGCCAGTCCTCCAATATAAATAAATTTATTAGAAATGGGTCTAGTCGTTTCTAAGAAGGGATTTGAGTTGATAAAGACGAGTGAAGAATTTTTAACAAGTTCTTTTACATTCGGAAAATCTTGGCCAAATGCTTCTTTGATGATCGGATACTAATTAAATTTAATTATTTTTCAAAAATAATTATGTTTATAGTTAAATTAGTTTCAGAAAATAATAAAGGACTGGATAGAAATTAATCCTGAGAGCTCTGAGGCATAGTTGTCCTCCACACCTCCTCCCCTCACTTCCGAATGATCGGTTTCATATTTTACTTAAATGGTATTATCAAGACCAACCCTTGACCCAAAGACCAGAACCACGACCGAAAAATAAAAAAAAGTCTTAAATCAAGGCGGATGACCAAGAGTATAGGACAACTCTACTTCTACCATGCTTGGAGGAAATTTTGCCAGCTTACGGTGTTTTTTATTCTGTTATTTATATATATATATAATAGTTTTTAAACTCAGACAAAAAAAACTTCAGCGGTCCCACTTTTGGTCGTACCTCCCTGAAACTTGCACATTGTTCACGGTTGTTGACGAGGCGCATCCGAAATAATTATTGATTTTTCCCTACGCCGGCGCCTTCGCGCCGAAACGACCCCTGGGACCTGGCTATCTCGTGAACCGGAAGAGATAGCGAAAAACTTCCGCTTAGAGGGCCCTGACCCGCATTTAGTAGATGTCGAATAAAAAAAAAATTTCGAAAAAATTCGAACTCTAAGATACGATATGCTTGTCTAACCCTTTTTAAATGGTGGTCAAATGTCGCGCCATAGGGTAGCGGTCTTTTGTACAATTTCTATATCTCTGAAACCACGCCGCAGATTTGGATGGGACCTGGGGGTATTAGGTAAACGGCCATGAGAAATTTAATGGGCATGGCCATTTTGGTGCCGCACTCGAGTGTGGCACTGAAATGGCCGGATGAAAATTTCAAAAGCTTTTAACGGGTTTTTGAGAAGTGGGGTGTTCTTGGGCCTGGGAGTGATGTTGGAGGGTAGAGTGTTGGGAAGTTATCGGGTGTTGACCACTTGAGTCTCAGATGAAGTTTTGGGGGTCATATGGGTCAAAGAGTCGGGGTCGAAAAACCTACTTTTTGTAACGTGAATTAAAACGCGTTTTCGATAGCCAGTTCGAAAGAGCGTCCCGTGGGGCTCCGAAAAAGGTATAATATGTTGGGGGTCCACTTGAGTCTTAAAAAGTTATAGCGAATGTGGCCAAATGTCGCAAAACTTTATGAGACTCTAACGTCACGGGGAAATTTTTTAAAATTTTTTCGAGGCCGGATTCGTACTCAGCGCATGTCAGAGTACCATATAGGCCTATTTTTGACCCAAAATTCCAAAATTTTGTCCCCCACCCTATTTCCACAGGGGTACCCCTTTTGGGGAATTTTCGGGATTTTTAGGGGACCTTAACTTTTTTTGGGATTATCGGGTTGGGATGGGGTTTCCTTTGAAAAATCGAGTAAAAAATTAGGTATTTTTTCACCGAAGAAAATTTCGAAAAAATTCGAAATTGGAGGTGTAAGTGTCGAATTTCGAAAAACCCAAAATTTTTCGGTTTTTCGAAAAAATTTCGGGATTTTTGCCGGCGGTAAGGGGCATAGGTATTTTTTCTTGATAGAGCAGATTTTTCTGCATAGAATGAGCTTTTAAAATTATTAAAAAAGATTAACTTTGAGAAAGTTATGATTTTTTGAAAATTTCGGCGATTTTTACGGCCAAAATTTTCGGCCAAAAAAATAATTTTTGCAAAATGGCCACAGATGGGCCAAATGTTATAACAATCGAAAGCTCTCATCGAGCTGAGCTTAAAATATTTTTTTCGAAATTTTCTGACCATTTTGTACAAAGTTACAAAAGGTCGGAATTTCGGGTGTGGGTGGTACTATACCCAGTGGGGTAACCAAAACGTTGGGAACCAAAATGGTGCCCAACGGTGGGTAGGGGGGAGACGAGGGCCGAAGGCCCGAAGTGACCAAAATGAGTCCCAACGGTGGGGAAGGGGGGAGGGGGACGAGGGCCGAAGGCCCGAAGTGACCCAAAATGGGTCCCAATGATGTGGCGGGTGAGAGACCGAAGTGACCCAAAATGGGTCCCAACGATGGGGAGGGGGAGAGACCGAAGTGGCCCAAAATGGGTCCCAACGGTGGGGAGGGAGGGAGACGAGGGCCGAAGGCCCGAAGTGACCTAAAATAGGTCCCAACGATGGGGAGGTTGAGAGACCGAAGTGACCCAAAATGGGTCCCAACGGCGGGGAGGGAGGGGGGGCGAGGGCCGAAGGCCCGAAGTGACCTAAAATAGGTCCCAACGATGGGGAGGTTGAGAGACCGAAGTGACCCAAAATGGGTCCCAACGGCGGGGAGGGAGGGGGGGCGAGGGCCGAAGGCCCGAAGTGCGCCAACTTGTAAAAATGGGCCCAACGGTGGGGAAGGGGTGGGGGGAAGAGGGCCGAAGGCCCATAGTGCGCCAACATGTAAAAATGGGTCCCAACGGTGGGGAAGGGGTGGGGGGAAGAGGGCCGAAGGCCCATAGTGCGCCAACATGCGACGCCCATCTAAAAAGAGGGGACCAATGCGACACCCATCTAAAAGGATGGGCGAGGGCCGAAGGCCCGACGCCCGCCCATCTAAAAAGAGGGGACCAATGCGACG